TGAAAGCATCTGACTGTTTGTTTGCTTTAATGTACAGAGAAGCATGCCAGCATTGGAGAATTACCCTAATTTCCCACATTAATTGTTTGGCTGTTTGTGAATACAAGCTGGTTTGTTTATTTTGGTTTATACTCCACCTGGTTCTTGAGAATTAGGTTGGGTGTAAAATTTTGGGGGGAGAAATAGAACCATGCATTGAAAATATAACAAATGTTAAGCTGAAATAGCCCAATATTTATTCTTCACAATACAGGAATAATTGGAAATGGGAGAGACTTAAGATTACCACAGGAAAGCACTCAAATGCAGAATCTGGCATACCTTCTCAATCCAATTTGCCTCCTATTTGCAGCACCCAAAAGTAATCTCCATCTTTGTAAATATAAAGACTTGCTCTTTATTTTTCTCCTCCAAAACAGAATATTACAGAAATGAAAACACATTAAGGGTTTGTTAAACCAAAGTTGTTTTTGGTGTGTGTGAACAGGGCCACAGAAAGTTGCCTGTAGATTGTTTCCTGTTTTCCAGAAGAAGAAACCCATTTCAGTATTGCTTGTACGTTTGCTTTTACAATGGCTTACTGGACTATTGTGCTATATTCCAGGTTATTTAGAACTTAATTATTAGGTGCAGGCTACTAGTGACACAGCTGATTGCCTCCTGATGCACAACAAACTTCCACACCGGCTTTCCATTTCTCAGAACAACTTGAACTTTCGATGGCAAATCACTCTTGGTGATTTGAGCCATTTTACAGATCAGAAGGAGTTTCTCATATTCTGATTAGTGGCAGCTAAACTGGAAAGCAAAAGGCGGAAATAATAATAATAATAATAATAATAATAATAATAATAATAATAATTTATACCCCGCCCATCTGGCTGAGTTTCCCCAGCCACTCTGGGCAGCTCCCAATCAAGTGTTAAAAACAGTACAGCGTTAAATATTAACAACTTCCCTGGACAGGGCTTCCTTCAGATGTCTTCTGAATGTCAGGTAGTTGTTTATCTCTCTGACATCTGAAGGGAGGACGTTCCACAGGGTGGGTGCCACTACCGAGAAGGCCCTCTGTCTGGTTCCCTGTAGCCTCACTTCTCGCAATGAGGGAACCACCAGAAGGACCTCGGCGCTGGATCTCAGTGTCCGGGCTGAACGATGGGGGTGGAGATGCTCCTTCAGTTATACAGGACCAAGGCCGTTTAGGGCTTTAAAGGTCAGCACCAACACTTTGAATCGTACTCGGAAACGTACTGGGAGCCAATGCAGATCTCTCAGAACCAGTGTTATGTGGTCCCGGCGGCCACTCCCAGTCACCAGTCTAGCTGCCGCATTCTGGATTAATTGCAGTTTCCGGGTCACCTTCAAAGGTAGCCCCACGTAGAGTGCACTGCAGTAGTCCAAGCGGGAGATAACTAGAGCTTTCACCACTCTGGCGAGACAGTCTGCGGGCAGATAGGGTCTCAGGCTGCGTACCAGATGGAGCTGGTAGACAGCTGCCCTGGACGCAGAGTTAACCTGCGCCTCCATGGACAGCTGTGAGTCCAAAATGACTCCCAGGCTGCACACCTGGTCCTTCAGGGGCACAGTTACCCCATTCAGGACCAGGGAATCTCCCACACCCACCCGCTCCCTGTCCCCCAAAAACAGTACTTCTGTCTTGTCAGGATTCAACCTCAATCTGTTAGCCGCCATCCATCCACTAACCGCCTCCAGGCACTCACACAGAAAGGCTCAGAGATGCAGAAGAGCTCCGGCAATGGAGGGCATGGGACTCTTAAATCTCTAGATTCGAACCCCAGCTCTACAATTCTATGACTATGTTGTCAAGCTTTTGCGACGTTTGTCAAAATGTGTAGCCTCATTCAGATAGTTAATGCAATAGCTCAGAATCTCAAAAATGAAATAAAATACTACAGTCTGAAGCAGACATATTTTGTACGGCATTGTATTTATTTATTTTCATTCACTGTATCAGCAATCTTGAGCTTCAACGGCCCCCGCTGCTTGTCACTTTGCCCCTCGGGTTGAGCTGTTTTGTCAGCTGGCTCCTCCAGAAGGGGCTCCCCAATTGCTCTTAAAGATCATCATTGTGGCTTTGTTGTTTTGTAATGTTTTCCTGTTTTGCACTGGTGTTATAAGCAGCAATAGGGACACAGGTGGCGCTGTGGTCTAAACCACTGAGCCTCTTGGGCTTGCTGATCAGAAGGTCAGCAGTTCGAATCCCTGCAATGGGGTGAGCTCCCACTGCTCTGTCCCAGCTCCTGCCAACCTAGAAGTTCGAAAGCACAAAGTGCAAGTGGATAAATAGGTACCGATGTGGCAGGAAGGTAAACTGCATTTCCGTGTGCTCAGGTTTCCGTCATGGTTTAGTCATGCTGGCCACATGACCCAGAAAGCTGTCTGTGGACAAACGCCAGCTCCCTTGGCCTGAAAGCGAGATGAGCGCCGCAACCCCATAGTCACCTTTAATTGGACTTAACCGTCCAGGGGTCCTTTACCTTTACCTTTTACCTATAAGCGGCAATATAAACCAAACAAGAAATATATATTATATGCCCTCCTGCTATCTTTTGCTTCACCATTTGGCCTCACTGTTTTCAGACAACTATTGCACCATGATTTTCATTTCTCTGTACTCAAGAGAATGTTCTCCTGCCCACTTTGGTGACCGCATCACTCACCTGATGAAGTTGCCTCTGGTCCTCTAAGGGTTAACTCCACAATAGATCTATTAATTTTTAAGGTGGCCTAAGACTCATTTGACTTGGCTTTCAAGACTCAGGGTCCCTAGACACCTTGTTGAATTCTTCAACCAGCAGGCCCTCTATTTTCAGACAAGAATAACTCATACAAATTAGAATACATTTGCTCACTCTGCTTCCGTTCTGTTTTCCTGCAAAATTTGATTTTCCCCACCTTCTAATTTATTTATCAGCCACTGTGATTATTGCTGTCTAAAGTTTTTCATCTTTTTCATGCGTTAGTAAGGAATGACCTTGCCTTTTAAAAGGAACACTGTCAGGTTCAATGACCTATTTGTTTTACTTTCCCAGTCTCTGCAGTCCCCTTTTTACAAGCTGCAAAATAAAACCAAAAAGTCATTGTACTATCTTTTTTTCTCCCCTCTTTCAGCAAGCACAGCAGAAGTTAGACAAGAAACCCCACATGGGTATAACGTTTGTGGAGAGAATGTAATTGAACTGGAAAGGAGGGTATCTGCAGTACGTGTTTGGGTACAGTTGTGTCTCATGGTGTAAAATATGACACATTTCAGCTGCTTTCTGGTGGTGTTTTATGCCCTCTAGTGGGGCAGAAGATTATTGTAGCACATTAGTTTTCCTCTGCTTTGGCTGTATTTCATGGATAAATTGGATTCATTCCTAACTCTTAACCAGGAAAAAAAAAAAAGATTTAAAAGTTTCTGTGCAGAATTCATTCACGATACGATTTTTACTTTTCAGCTGAGAAGTATCTTATAGTCTGTTCCTAAATAAAGAAATGCACCAAATTTAATTCTATATAACTGATCAATAGTTTAAATTTTTCCTTCTAAATGAGAGGGAACAGCATCTTAGCCCCTGCCCATCTATTTCTGTAGGACAATTTAGAAACCTTTTGAGGGACGAGGCTGTGTAAGTCACACTTCCTCATCTTGGACTGCCCATCCTTATGATGCAATCTCTGAAGTGCTACTCTCTTCCAACCCATAAAAAGGAGCGCTGCCATCTCAGAAGGGATGCTAAATAAATTCAACATCCTCCAGCCAAGAAGTTCATGGGGGAGGTCAGCACCAGATTTAGGGATGTGTGGGAGGTTCCCCGGCACAAGATGCTGAGCCGAAGGGGCACAAAATAATAAGAATAAGAAAACCTGTGTTCATATGTGTACATACTCAAAGTAACAAAAGGAATTACAGTCATACCTTGGAAGTTGGCCAGCTTAGTTCCCGAACATTTTGGCTCCCGAATGTCACAAAACTAGAGGTGACTGTTCTATTTTGCGAACAATTTTTGGAAGCCGAACATCTGATGGGGCTTCCGAGGCTTCTGATTGGCTGCAGGAGCTTCCTGTAGCCAATCAGAACCCGCACTTTGGTTTTTGAATGTTTTGGAAGTTGAACGGACTTCTGGAAAGGATTCCGTTCGACTTCCAAGGTAGGACTGTATTGTGAAAATATGAAAAAAAAAATGGGGGGGCACACCCAACTTTGTCCTTGCTCAGATGCGATATTACCCAAGTCCACCCCTGCTTTGGGTGCATTTCTGTCGAACCTAACAAAAACTTTGAGAGGATTAATGGGTAATCCCTTTGTATGCTGTGCTGAGGTCACTGGAGGAAAGATGGTGTATAAAAGTGATAAACAGGAATATAGAATATGCCATGGGTCCATCTATCTCAATATTGTTTACATCCCTGGGGATGCTGCATACGGAATGTGGGTCAAAGTAGGAAAAGTTACTTACAAATGAAAGTAAAGTAGTAGTTGTACCTTGGATCCTGAACGCCTTGGTAATCGGACATTTTGGCTCCCGAATGCCACAAACCCGGAAGTTAGTGTTCCAGTTTGCGAACATTCTTTGGAACCTGAACGTCCCACGGGCCTTCCATGGCTTCCAATGAGGAGCCGTGCTTTGGTTTCTGAACGTTTTGGAAGTCGAACGGACTTCCGGAATGGATTCTGTTCGACTTCCAAGGTACTACTGTAATGTGGCTCTATCCATTAAAATTCTAACTAGGGAAATGTACACAGGTGACTTATATGGCAGTCATGTTCTGGGGATAGCACTTAAAGCCAAAATCTCAGAGTCAAAACACATTGGGTTCAATGGCAGGTAGCACTACCAAAGTCTTTTTTCCTGGACACCTGCCCTGTTTCCACCTCCTTTTCGTAAAATAGTAATAATAATAATAATTTCAGCCAAGCCCGCCAAGCTGGTTAAATATGTGTGTAAATTGCGAGTTACCTTTAAAACAGAAATCTCTCTTTTTTTTCCCCCACCACAGGTATGGTGACATGGTGCCGAAGACAATTGCTGGGAAGATCTTTGGCTCGATTTGTTCCCTGAGTGGGGTCTTAGTCATTGCCCTTCCAGTTCCTGTCATTGTCTCCAATTTCAGCCGCATCTACCATCAGAACCAACGGGCAGATAAGCGCAAGGCACAAAAGGTTTGCTTCTACTTTCCATTCATTACATTCTGGGATAGACACAAAGTGGCTCTTTTGTATGCTGTACGTTATCAAAGTGAATTTGTCATTGTTAACGAAGAAAAAAATGTGACGGCTTCAGAAGCTCTGGAACAAAAACAAAAACCATCAATTGGAAATCGGCTTTCACACCTCCTGAAGATATAACTACTTGATTGGTTGGTTTGACACATTAACAAAACAACCTTAATAATTGTTTTAAATTCATGCATATAAAAGCATGTCTCTAAAATTACGTTTTTAAACCATTTTCAGTGGATTTTTATACATTTTGAGCATGCATTATTAACGTTCAAAAATTGCAAGTATAATAGAGAGTTCGTGTGGATGGAAGTGAGGTTTGCAATGGGACGTTATAGTCTATTTCTTTAAACCTGCAGTCTTAATTTTTTCCCTGTATCTTAAATATTGATAAATCATCTTTCATTCTACCTGATTTCAAGGTTGCTTACAATGAGTATCTCTATATGTGCCTATATGAGAAAAAAAAGACCTCACTGAAACCAGTAAGATTCAAATCTGAGTAAATGTGCATAGGCTCGACCTCCCTGTGGCACTTGAACCATTTAAGATCATTTATATGGGATGTGATACCAGTTTAAGTGGTTTGTTGGGTGCATTATATTTATTTCCCCAAACAACAGTGTTTATATTATTATTGTTAGTATTATTTTACTTAAAACAAACAAAGCTAAACCCTTCATTTTCTCTCATACCTCCTTTCCAGCTGTGAATTCGAGAAACCTTTAATTTCTGCACAGCCAAGGAATTATGAATGAAGTGTTCTTCATAATCAGTAAAAAATCAATTTCACTCCAAATGGCCATGGGAAACTTTAATTAACAGCTTGCAAAAACCCTGGCTACCTAGAGAAGCCTAGTGTGATATTTTTAATAAAAGGTGGAGTAGTAGGAGCTTAAGGAAAAGGTGACTTTTGAATCCATTATTAAGCCAAGGCATTTCACATGATTGTGATCTGTTAAGAACCTTTGCTTTGTGTTGAGTATTCTTCAGCTCTTCCTTTATTTCCTGAATGATTGTGGAACCTGCAGGAGGGTGACTTATCTGAACCTCCTCTTTGACCAAAGCGTAGTATAAGTGGATGTACCATATACAGGGGAAAAACAGCCTATAAAATATAAAAATGTATTTGCAAAACCGCTTCATTAATTCCTGAAATGCTCCCAGCGTTTGAGGAATACTTTAGAACTCCCTCACCGGGGACCAAAGTGCATTTCCTCACGAGCCACATAAATATGACTTTCAGATTAAACAAGTTGTTAGCTTCACTGGAGACGTGAGGATATAATTAAGCAAAGTGCTTGCCCTACATTTTCATATAGAACAAACGCTAAGTATAGTTTGCACTCAGACAATTATCCCTTCAGGAACCGTAAATCCTCTTTTAGTCTTCATACACATAGATCTGCATGAGTAGATGAGGGAAAGACACATTAAATATTGGTGCAACTCATAACTATCTGAACTTTAAGTAAACCCAGTTCCAAGAATATCGTCCTGTCTGTGAATGTGTGGGAAAGCCAAGGAAATCCCAAAGTCTCTGTTGAGACTTGAGGTGTGATAAAATAGATAGGTAATTGATGCTCTGCAATCCTCTGGTTTGCATCCTCCTGGAGAGCATCTCCAGGTCCTCCTCACTGGGGGCAAGAACAGAGGTCCACCCTCAGTGTGGGGCACTGGACCTCATATTGTTGTAAACAAAATCTGCCCCTTTTCGCTTATGGGGTATCCAAGAGCCCATATAGAGTCCTTATGTGGGTTCCCTATGGGTAGGAGAAAATTACAGAAGCCAACCAGAGAATATTGAGAAGCAAAGCAGCTAGTAAGCCTGATCTTTATTGATCTCTTGCAAAGGGTGCTCCCCTCACACGCAGGAAAGGAGGAGGACCTCGAACAATGGTGCGCAAGGCCTTATGTAGACATTTTAAATTCCCTGCCCTGGAGCTCAAGACCACCCCTCCATACATCCATCACAGAAGGGGTGTAACCCAAGACCACCACCCCCCACAAACATCACACCTACATCACAGAAAAGGTGGTCTACAACAGAAATTTGAATGTTTAATAATAATAATAATAATAATAATAATAATAATAATAATAATTTATTATTTATACCCCGCCCTTCTGGCTGGGCGGCTTCCAATAAAACACTAAAATACAATAACCTATTAAACATTAAAAGCTTCCCTAAACAGGGCTGCCTTCAGATGTCTTCTAAAAGTTTGGTAGTTATTTTTCTCTTTGACATCTGGTGGGAGGGCGTTCCACAGGGCGGGTGCCACTACCGAGAATGCCCTCTGCCTGGTTCCCTGTAACTTGGCTTCTCGCAGCGAGGGAACCGCCAGAAGGCCCTTGGCGCTGGACCTCAGCGTCCGGGCAGAACGATGGGGGTGGAGACGCCCCTTCAGGTATACTGGGCTGAGGCCATTTAGGGCTTTAAAGGTCAACACCAACACTTTGAATTGTGTTTTTTCTGTCTGCCAGGTTATCTGATAATGCCTTATCTTATTGCCTTTTCTGGTAGTGTTTTCCTGGTAGTCTGTCACCCTTTGAAATGGTCATTACTAAATTCCTGTAACAAGGAAGGTTTTTTTCACCTCCTCCCTCCTTGCAGAGAAACATTTGGTCAGCTTGGGAGTCAAAATTCGTTTCAGGACTGTCTTCCTGTGCTGCTTCAGACATGTGGTTTATGTACATGTTTGCTTGGTACATTTATGAACATTTATTATATATCTAAGACCTGAAAATTCTTATTGCAATATGACTCCTCCGTGAGACTGCAGAAAGACAGCTAGTGTCCCTCCACTGGGCCTCAACTCTGGAGCAGGCAAAAAGGTGTTCCAGAGGGTGTGCTGGGAAAGAATGTGGATCCAACAGATCTAAAGCACTCCTGTTCCCCTTACACCCCCCTCCCACAAAATGGGGGACAAGCTATACTAACTTTAGCATACCTTCCTACATTTCTCCAATGAAAAGAGGAGCATCCTATTCCATCCTCTCCAACATTTCTCTGATGAAAAGAGGGACGTCCTATTGTGTACCTTATTTCACTCTCTATTCAACCAGTGGAAGGGAAACTTTTTTAAATGAATAAAAACCTAGAAAGCAGGAGTGAAGGGGAAACACCACGCATCTGCTATGGTGGCATGAGCTCATAGCTGTCAACTTTTCCCTTTTCTTGTGAGGAATCCTATTTGGAATAAGGAAATTTCCCTTAAAAAAAGAGAAACGTTGACAGCTATGCATGAGCTTGGCAGGGCATAGAAAAAGGTTGCCCCACTCACTTTTGGATTGTTTCATGAATCCGTTTTCTTTGAAACCAGTGGACAAATTGGTCTCTCTCTTCCCCCACTTTCTCTTTCACATTAGAACATCAAGACTGTAAAGAACGAACACTAAGCAGCAAAACTTCATGCTTGATTTTATGTGAATAGTAGATAGTTAAAATGCTATTGAAGTAGAATCAAATTTACCTCTTTACAAAAAAAAACTGACAGATTTTTATCAATCTCAAAGGCTAGAAAGGAAGAAAGCAAGAGAATTTCCAATCACTATTTATTGTAGGGCTGTGTCCTCTGAAATATAAGGAAATGTCCAAGGTTTGAACAAAAAACAACAGATGTTTAAAGGTTCTGCACTGGTGATGTATTATGATGCAAATGACAGGGAATACACCCCAAACCCAGGGCCCAATTTGTGTTTACTGGATATCCAAGCGATCCAGAAATTATTCACACAGAATAGATACACTCTTTTTATGTTATAGACTAAGAATTCATAGCATACAAGGAAAAACAGATTGAATTCGGGGAGTGGGGTTCTGGAAATAAAGCTGGATGCATTACTCCTGGGATATGAAATTTTTTTGGCAAGTGGCTAAATGCATTCATGTTTGTCACCTATCACCCAGCCTCTGAGAATAACAGCATTTTTTGAGCTTCCAGATTCAGTATCCATTAGGGAAGTTGTGAGATCATGTTCGCTGTTAACATTCGGAGACCACAAAATTCGAAGGCAGCCCCATTTTTCTGGATTCCACATTCATTAAAGAACTGAGTAGCAGAGGGGTGCCATTTTGACTGTTTGCCTCATGTGAGTGAATGTGGTGTAGTATTTTAGCCAGACAAAGAGACGCAGTTGGCAGGCAAACGTGGTACAAATTCGTCGTACAAGATCAATAGTTGAATTCAAGACACATACAAGGAAGGGGGCATGCGATTCCAGAAAGTTCCCTTTGTGTTGGCATTTTTGAGCTGTATGTGCAGGGAGAAATCTTAAAGCATCTTTCATCTTAAATATCCTGCCCTTCCTCCAGAGATTGCCAGGCTCCCAGGTGCCTTTACCCAGCATCAGCATTCTACTGATTAAGGGAAGAAATGGGAAAAACATCACAGCCAAGACAGATGACTTGCTCCAGTAGTACCTGCATTCCCTTGTTTTGAACTGCGGCATATGCGTGCGTGTTTTTTTCCATCCTGTTGCACGAAGAGAAAAGTGCTTTGCATTGGCGAAATCAAAGCCCAAGCCCCTTCCGCGCACCTGACAAAACACTCAGGTGGCAGGTGCTAATGGAAAAAATACAGTTCTTTTCACTCTCTGATGACATACAGAAACCATCCATTCTCCACCTGGCACCTCTCGGGGACTAAACATATTAAATCGCCCCAGTGAATTCTGTCAAAAGCAGCTGAATATGAACAGTAACTGATAAGTTCAATTTTGGCAGCCTGTTCTATGATTAGTAGTACAGTGGCAGCATGAGAGAGAAAAAATGACAGGAGTAATTTCAAGAGCAACTAAGTGATATTTACTGGACATGTATTTGCTTGGAACACTGCTTAGAAAAGAGGGAATTGCCCACAGATTGCACCTGCCAGTAATGTCGCATTGCAAAGATTTAATATAGCTAAGGGCTCTCTTCCACAAAGCACTAGAGGGCCTACTAGAAAACATGCTGTTCTGTTCCTCTTTGATTTTAAACATACAGGTGCACACACACAATGAATCTATAGCGCATAGGAATATACTTGACCTCCATTTTGTGTGGACTCTTAAAGCCGTCACATAGCCCAACTTGATGACAATCTGGGTGAGGATATCTGAGTGAGATTCAGGGCTGGCCCTGTCATGAGTTACAGTGTGGCATTTTCCTGAAACGTCCACTTGTGTGTGTTTTTAAACCGTGGGATGTTGTTATTGTTTATAATAATACCTCAGATGCTGGGATGTCTTGGGCTCACCTTCAACTGAGTGGTGTGCATGGCAACATTATTTAAGGTTGCCATATTTCAAAATTGTTGAATTTTTTTAAGGAAACCACAGAAATCATTGAGCTTTCTTTAGGAAACCCCCAAAGCTGTTGAGCCTTTTTCCATAAAAGCTACAAGAATTTTTGAGTTAGGGGCTTTTTTAGGCATTGAAATCCCCTAAGGGTGCTAATGGAAGAGTTCTTTTTCCCCTATGGCAGCCCTGCGTTATTGTGTGATTGTTTCATACAGATCACCAGCACTTGCCCATGAGGCAGGGAGAGACAATTGCCTCGGGTGGCAATACCCACCTGATCCAGCCCAACAGTGACTTCTTAGTGAATAGGAGGCGCTGCTGTTCTCCTCCCATCCTTGTTCCCGATGTAGATAGTTATTCACACCTTGTTCCTGATGTAGCTCTTCATTCTCCACTTACTCCCTGACCAGAGGGACGCCATTTTGTGGCTCACCTCAGGTGTCAAAATGTATTGGGCTAGCCTGCTGACCACAACTTAAAATTCACTCCAGTTATTACATAATGAATTGTGATGTCAGTTGGCTTTTCCTCTGTACTGTTCAATGGCACTTGATTCATCAGGAGTTACTTTCTGGTGTTGTGTGTCATCCTCATGCTTTTCTAACCAGCTCAGCATGCATTCCACTAAGATTGACGGCTGCACCTTTTAACTAATTTATATGTTCTTTAAGAGTATGAAATACTAGAGTGAATGACTAGGAAGTTGGAGACTAGGGTTCAAATCTCTACTCAGGTATGAAGCCGACTGAGTGATTCTGGGTCAGTTACTATCTCTCAGCCTAACCTACTTCACTGAGTTGCTGTGAGGATAAAACGGAGAGGAAGAAAAGCATGAACACTACCTTGAGCTCCTTGGAAGAAAGTTGGCCTATAAATGTAATAATACAAGCCCCATCTGCATTATACATGTAGAACAGTATCATACTAATTTAAGCTGCCATGGTTCCCCCCCAAAGAATCATGGGAACTCAAGTTTCCTAAGGGTGCCGAGAATTCCCCTCACAGAGCTATGATTCCTAGAGTTCCCTGGGAAGAATGATGAATTGTTAAACCATTGAAATTATAGCTGTATGGGGGCAATAGGGGTCTCATCAACACTCGGTAGAGGTAACTCTTACACACATTTAACTTGTGCACATCCAACTTTATGTGCTTGGCAAAAGTTAAAAAATTTAAAAGTGGGTGGAAAGGGGACAGGCATCCAGGGAAAAAAAGGTTTTGGCAATCCCACCTGCCATTGATCCAGTGTGTTTTGACTAGACACAATTTTGGTTGTGCGCGCTATCCCCAAAAGTTCCAGAACATAACCCCTGAGTAAGTTGAGAGTTGTCCATACTCTTAACAAGTTCCCATGATTCTTTGAGGAAAACCATGGCTGTTTAAAGTGGTATGATATTGCTTGTGGTACAGTGCAGAAGTGGCCAAAAATGAAATAAAAACTCTTAAGAGCCTGTCAGCCATTATCCTGAGGTGGCAGCTTAGAAGGGTTTTGACAGGCGTTCTTTGCCCATAGTATATTATGTGTAACTGGTGTTGGATCCTTCCTTTCCCAGCCTCCCAGAGCTCCATAGCAAACAAACAAACCTGCTCAGAACAGCTATATGGTGTAACACTATCAACGCATGTGGAAGGTGATGTATCCTACTTCCATGAAGCCATTGTAGATCTTCAGTGGAAGTTACCGTAATTTGGCTAATACAACTTTTGTGCTTTTGCCTATGGATACAATTCAAGGATTCTGTCAGTATTTATAATTAACAGTGCTTGGGGGGGTAGGAGGGACGTCTGCCTCATTTCTCCCCCAAAATTAACTTGGTAACTTGTTTTCTTAAAAATGAAGCATTTAAATCTTAATGGAACAAAACTGCAGACCAGCTTCTTCCAATGTCCTTCGTGAGTCAACCTGGACTGCCACCTAAAAAATATTCAGCGCTTGACTTCAGATATCAAACACTAGCAGCTTAAGCACGTGAACAAATTCAATATGGCTTCACCCAGCGCACGCATTTTGCCATAAAAGTAAAGTGACTGGAGAGAGTACAACTGTTCATATTCTGAGAGGTCAGGGGAAGGCTGTTTTATTATCTGCCATGCATTTGATCCTATGAAAATTGTTCCTTTCTAACAGAACTTGTAATCTTTAATGTTGACTTCCTGCTGTTCAATTTACACATCTTACTTGCTCAAGCTGACATTCTTACTTTAAACTTCTTCTTTTTTGCAGTCTTCTTTGTTCTCCCTCGTGTTATGTCCCCTACTTGAAGAGCAATCTTCCTTCTAAGTTGTGCTGGCTAGCGAGCAGGGAAATGCCTGCCCTAAAAATCCCTTCCCACCCTGTCACAGATTTAGAATTATAGAGCAAATATAGAGAGAGACTTTGGGAAGGTTGTAATGCGTGGCTTCTACGAAAATCCATCAGCCCTGCCCCTGGAGGCAAGCAGCATTTGAAAGGAAGCTTCAGAGCACTGACTCTTTAGTGCCTCTCAAACTCCAATTAAAATGAAATTTTTAAAAACATTAATTTCATTTATGGGGTCAATACAAGGCTAGGAATCAGTGAAACTAGTTGCAGGGACCTACCAGGACTAAAATATCAGCCCTGATGAGACTCCTACCCAGCTGTTATCAACATGGGACTGAGAGTCATTTTAAAATAAAACAGCACAGGGGATTTATTTTATTTATTTAAGAGATGGCTCAGCTCTCCAAAGCCAATGCTGAATTGACTTAGAAATGACCTGGGGGGTGGTAAATTTCCTCCAGTACTCCACTTCCCAAAACATGACCACCCTCTTCTCTTTCCTCACCTGGGCAGCTGTGGCAAAGGACTAGCAGAGAAAGACCCACCTTCCTGCTACTCTTCCCCTCCATAACTTCTCTCCCTTTCTTTCCATCAGCTTATTGCGCTGGGGAAAGGCATGGGGATTCATATTCTTCTCAAGGATTGCCTCCTTAGTTCTGAGAAGACTACAAAACCAAAGGATTAGCATGCTACAGAGAGTGGGTCTCCCCACGAGCCACCACTGCTCTCATCCCAGATAAGTAAAGGGAGAATATTTAAGAGTCAGGGCTTGAAGTACAGTAGTGTCTTTGGGAGTTAGGGAAGCCTGGTGTGAAAAGAAGAAACAGGAAGCCAGGAGTTCTTCTCTGGCTCGGATTTAAATCTGAGCCTGAGAAGAATTGTAAATTCACCTTCCAGTCCCCTAAAGTTATTTCCCAAGCCCACTTCAAGAGCAGCTTTTCTAGTATCTGTGCCTTTCGCTTTGCAATCTAGCATGTTAGCCAAGCCCTGATAAATTGATCTGGGTGCTGGTGGAACATCACAGAAGGTTGGGTAGAACCAGAGGTTTTGCACCCCTGATTTATCATAGCAATGACACAGGTTGTGGAGCCAGTCATTGTGCCTGAAGAGCAATCACATCCCTAAATGGGTCCTTGAGACATCAATTTGAAGCTTCAGGCCCAACTTACTATTGTCTACCTACCAATCTCCCACAGATCTGTCTTCCCAGAAGGACAGTCATTCTTCGCAGCCCAATCCAAGTAAAGGTCTGTCCCAGGCTACATCCTGCATACTTGTGAAGTCGTTGCTGCTAGCTTCTGCCAGTTATTATAAATTAAGGACAGCTATCTGGGAGGGAGAGAGGGGGTTGCACCATCAAATGACTATCTGGAGAATAGAATAACCCTCAAGAAAACTGAAGTCGGTCAGTCCTAGCATATGCAGTGTGTCTTAGTTAGAAAGTCACTGCACTTCAGAAAGTTGTATACAGATGGGCGAGCCAAGCTGCACCCAGTCCTTTCCTCATCTTACCCTCCCTTATGGTAGCTTTCAACAAAGTTGCACTAGTACAAATTTGATGCATAATACAACTGAAGAATCGCCATACTCCTTGGTCTCTTTGGCCTCTGATATGAGAAGGAGAATCCAAATGCTTTGCTGAGAATGGCTCCATGTTAAACACTGATGTATATTTTCTTTACCCTAAGAGCAACTGTTTCTTCTATGTCAGTTCCTGCAAAACTGTGCAATTATTAAGAAAGACATATAAGCCTCATTTTCAAGTGTTATGGGATATATGATAGCTTGAGAAGAGAGTTAGAACTCAAGAGCTTTTATCTAACATGATTTGCTTAGACTACTGCTTCTTAGCCACAGGGTCTTACACTTCTTTTTACTAACCCTTGAAACATTATTGTTGATGTTTGTGCTTTGAATTTAAGGTGGACATTCCTGGATTGCCTTGATAATGGAAATTAAAAGTAGGTTATTCAAATATGAAGGTTTTTGTTTGAATTCTTCAGTGTTTGGGGCATTTATCCAAGCAAAGTCCCATCAACCAAGCCTTGTTGTGTGTACACTGCTGTCGTATCACAAGGCCCTGTACTCAAAGAAATTGAGATCCACTGGTTTGGCTCTCCTTGTGTTATGCAGATGTTCTACCACAAATCAGAATGTTCTGAGCAATTGTGTGTGCCACCTCACAGCAGTTTAACAGCGACGCATTCTTTTTGGCTTATTGTCCTTTTCTCCGAAGGAACCTTTAGAAATGGAGTAATTAAAGTGAGATGAAAGCAGCATTTCTGACCTTGACGTACAAGCAACAGCATGATCGTGGTGACGGAAAAATGGAGAAACAACATGTCTAATGTGAAAATGCGTGTAAACACCATTCATTGTTCTCGTTGGCTGATGCATGCTGAGAAACAAATGCTTCTTGCTCATTTGCATTGTAAATCTGAAAGCGCCCGCACCTGAAAGCCCAGTTGAAAGAGTCCCTTCCGTGATTAGAGACCTTGCTATTCACAGAAACGCAATTCCAATTAGCTTTGTTATCTTCCTTTGAAAACAGAATGAAGGATACCAAGGCAAGTGACATTTCTTTCTTATCCTCATTCCCTCCCCCCTCCCCCAACACAGAAAGCCAGGCTCGCTAGGATCCATGCTGCGAAGAGTGGGACTGCAAACGCATACATGCAGAGCAAAAGGAACGGCTTGCTCAGTAACCAGGTAATGTGCGTGTGCATTCTAAATTCGGAAGAAGCCTTCAGTAATAGCCCAGCAATCCGTGTTCTGTTTCACATCAGAGGCCTCCAAACACAGAATGACAGTCAGGCTGAGGAAGGAAGCATTGTGCTTCCTAAGAGGAAGCTGTGACAGCCAGGTTTCCCTTGGGACTCAGTCAGCTCTTTATCGAAGGTGATGGAGCCCTGCCCGTTCAGCTCTGAAAGCAGCTTCATCCTGTGAATCTCCAATACAGCTCCCAAGAGTTTGTAGCTGCCGTCCAGAAAGCATTTCCCCTTCGCATACAGACAGGGGCTGGGTCTACACACTGATACAAAAAAGTTAAGAGGTGGGGAAAAACCCATTATATAGCTCTCTGCAATTTCCCCTTGGCTGTTTTACAGTGCCCCCTGGTGTCACATTTGTATAACGCATTTATAACGTTATAACTCACCAGGATAGATTAATCCAGGCAGACACACCATTAAATAGCATGGACCAAATGCCTGCTGGTCTCCACCAAGTTTCATACTGGTCTGCAGCTTTGATGTATAGTATATTACAGATGACTGGTCCCTGCTATAATGAGGATGTGCGTGCACCACAATCCCTCTCCTGCAATTTATCTCCTCTTGATCTATCCATTCCTGACGCTCTTTCTGTTCACTTATTCCTCTGCTAAATCGCACATTATTGCATCACATACGTTAAAGGGCAGGCAAAGAGATGGAAGACAGAGTGTAAACCCACATCTAAACAAACTTGTGAGCAGCAGTTTGCTAACCTGCCCACTTTAATGTAAGAGGTGAAGTCATCTGCACCAAACAGGTGTTTATCACTAGCAGTTCCAGAATTCTGCAATCACTTCCCTCAAGAGGTGCAGGTCTATATTCTTCCCTCCTGACATTGAGGTGATTTTCTAAAGCCCATTTATTCAGGAAAGCTTTGGAGCATTAATAATTGCTGGCTATCCTTTGAGACGCTTTTAGATTGTGCTGCAAAGTGTGCAGCTATGTTACTTAACATATGGAGTTTGTTACAACATATATTGATGATAACCAGCGTAGATGTATTTTTTTAAAAGGATTAGAATGTCAAAAGGATCCTTCATAGAGGATAGCTTTGATCAACAGCTACTGTGGAGGGCAAACCGGTCATTTGCTTAAATGCTTCCACTTTTCTTGGTCTTAAAACCGAATACTTTGCCTGAAATGAACTGTGAATCAGGTTATTAGCAGGGATGGGGGCTCATTGAAAGGATTTTTCGAGGAAATCTAATGATCAGTGGATATGCGCAAGTTATTTTATATTAATTGGTATTTCCACAAAACAGATCTCTTTATAAATTGTCCAGATGTGCTCTGATCAAGAACTTAGTTTAAAGTCTATTTCTTCACAACTGAGAAAAATATAATATTCAATGTATTAACAGTTATGCGGAGATGAACAAGAGGCCTTTGTTAGCAAATCTGGTTCTTCCTTTGAAATCCAGCACCACCACCTGCTGCACTGTCTGGAAAAAACCACGGTAAGATGATAAACCTGCAGCTTCCTTGTGATCTGAGAAAAATAAATATGGTGTTGATTTCCTGTTCTCTTGTTGCTCTTAGTTAAGAACTGCTCTGATGAAGTAGATTTTCATCATACTTAGCAAGTGAAATTTCATGAAGTGGCAGTTTCCTGAAATTATTTTGGTGGCAGAATTTATATGGAAAAATGGCACTCATTTGTGTTTTTATTAGCTCTGTTGAGAATACCGCTGTGCTTGAATGATTAATAGCTCAGTTTAACCTATGAACAGCTTGATCAGATAATTCGCGGGCTGAGTTGCATACTCTCCAACATTTTTCTGATCAAAATAGGGACATCCTATTCCATCATCATCATAATTTTATTATTTATACTCCATCCATCTGACTGGGCCACTCTGGGCAACTTCCAACATATAAAATATAAAAACATAAAATATTAAACATTTTAAAAACTTCCTTATACAGGGCTTTCATTCAGATGTCTTCTAAAGGTTGTATCTCCTTAGCTTGGGGGTTGCATAACTCCGTACCCTCCAACATTTCTCTGATGAAAATAGGGACGCCCTGAGGAAATACAGGACATTCTGGGATTAAATCAGAAACTAGGACAGCTTCTGTAAATCTAGGACTCTCCCTGAAAAATAGGGAAATTTGGAGGGTCATCCGTAGTAACCACTGCCTCCCTCCAGCAAAGTGTGCAGCACTGTTCATACTTGCCCCTTTCCATATCCTGAACTTCGCATCCCCGTTCCTGAGTCCTGACAACAAAAAGAAAGAAGATAGATCCAAGGGGAAATCTGAACATGCTGGCTATTGGAAATGCAACACCACGTATCTCAGCAGATACCAAAAACGCCACATGACAATTCTGCTGGCAAAATTGTACTAGGTTGGCTGCAAAAACTCACTTCCTCCAATGGGGGAAGGCTTCCTGACTTGGAGGAAGCTCCCTTTGTTGGAAGAAGAGAATTTTGAGTTCAGTAGTGGTTTTATTATATGCATTTTTCTTTTTCGCTTTTGCTCACTGCGAAATAGAAAACGTAGCCTCTTGTATTCCACACTGGACCATTGTATGGTGTTTGTTTTCATCGCTTTCAATGACATGAGCCTCATCTGCTCCTGGAAGCTCAGTCAGGTGTGGATGAAGCTCCTGTGTTTAGAAGCCACCTGATGTCTCAGGGCCACTGCCTTGAGTTTGGCAGCCGAACGAATCTGAGTTATGAGGAGTTCCACAGCACCAGATTTGATCCCTTTAAAAAATAGTGTCTGTTAAACATGAAAGGTTGGCTTTTTTGTGACAGGGCTCACCCACAGGAAGTACTGTTGCTTATTCTTTTGACCTGCATGGCAGCCATTTTGTGCTGGCACACGCAGCATTTTGATCAAAAGCATGAGTGCTGGCACCTTGGGTTTTTTAACTTTAAAAAAGCACAGTTATATGTGCACTCCTATTTACCATCTGTACTCTGCACTGCGAGGACGCGGGTGGCGCTGTGGGTTAAACCACTGGGCCTAGGACTTGCTGATCAGAAGGTCAGTGGTTCGAATCCCCGTGACGGGGTGAGCTCCCGTTGTTCGGTCCCAGCTCCTGCCAACCTAGCAGTTCGAAAGCACGTCAAAGTGCAAGTAGATAAATACCGTATTTTTCACTCTATAAGACGCACCAGACCACAAGACGCACCTTGGTTTTGGAGGAGGAAAACAAGAAAAAAAATATTCTGAATCTCAGAAGCCAGAAGAGCAAGAGGGATCGCTGCGCAGTGAAAGCAGCAACCCCTCTTGCTGTTCTGGCTTCTGTGATAGCTGTGCAGCCTGCATTCGCTCCATAAGACGCACACACATTTCACCTTACTTTTCAGGAGGGAAAAAGTGAGTCTTATAGAGCAAAAAATACGGTAGGTACCGCTCCGGCAGGAAGGTAAATGGCGTTTCCGTGCGCTGCTCTGGTTCGCCAGAAGCGGCTTAGTCATGCTGGCCACATGACCCGGAAGCTGTACGCTGGCTCCCTCGGCCAAAAAAGCGAGATGAGCGCCGCAACCCCAGAGTCGGCCACAACTGGACCTAATGGTCAGGGGTCCCTTTACTTACTCTGCACTGCACTGGATCATGTTTTGAAGCATACATATAGCAGACTGAAATGCAATTCAGAGTGTTGCAGCATGAAATTGAGCAAAGTTTGGGTCTGCCAGACTTCAAGTTAGCAGCTCTAATGATGCCATTTTTTTAAATAAGCTATAGAAATCTGAATCAGAAGGGGACCTTGTTTTTGCTCCTTGCCTTATTTACTTGGGCTCTGTGATGCTTTTGTTTAAATTACTTTTAGTGAAGGGAGTTCAATTGGCAGTATTTTTGTTTTAAGTCTGTTACCGATATGGCTGACTGTGATATATTGGGCAGGAAGCAAACGATATAGAAGAATTTGGGTCCCCCCCACCCTTCCTTCTGCTGTTATCGTGCTTCTGATTACATTGCTTATATTTTGATACGGTTCTAAATTATTTAAAATGTTGTAAGCTGCCATGGGAAAACATTGTATTTTGAACAGTTGGGCTACTAAATTTATTAAATAAGCAAACCAGCTCTCTTCCCATGAAATATGAACGAGGCCGAATCTTGTGCCATGGGGAAACTTTCATTTATCACAGCCGCTTTTCAGATTTAACGCTGTTTTCCTTTCTAAATCATGTTGAGCAGAATCATGACTTCCTGGATGAACAAACCTACGAAGAAAGCTGCATGGAGGTGTCCGCTGCCAACAGGCAATCCAGCCATAGTCCTTCCCTCTCTTCTCAACATGGAGTGACGAGCTCTTGCTGCTCACGGAGACATAAAAAGACATTCCGCATCCCAAACACTAACCTAACTGGCAGTCGCCCAAGTAGTGTCCAAGAACTCAGTACCATTCAGATCAGATGCATGGAAAGAACACCTCTGTCTAACAGGTACTTCAGCTTAAAAATGACCCCAGACAGAGATAGCATTATGTTCGCTCTCCAGGCAGAGATAACATGATGTTTGATCCTGCCTATCAAAGAATGGCATGGAGCGTGTGTGTGTGTGTGTGTGCCCACGCAAAATATTGCTCCGTTTGGGGTCATAACCTGTGTTCTGTAATGTTACGAGGAAAACCGTTTCCTAGTCTTGAATGTAACGATTTTGAAGTTCTTAACTGGCAGAGGAACAGTGAATGAATGTCGGTTCTTTTAAATTATCAAAGCAAATCATTTGTGTAAAATGTTGGGCTCTACTGGAAACCACATTTTGAGAGACTTTGAGTAGTCCCATTGTGACAAGGCACAAATGAATTGAAAACACCTATGAATTCAATATGGTCAGTATGTTTACAGATAGCTGTTCACAAGACCATTTGCCATACTTCCCCTTGATAGATGACCTCATTTTTTAAAAAATCTTAACTGCACCAGGATTGAAAATCTTTATTGAGAAAATATTGCTGTGTAGATAAGCACTGAACTTACTCATGGCACTGGGCAATATTGTGACTAAAGGCATATCAACTGATCTCATACCATATCACATGGGAGAGGTGTTTTTTTAAAAGGAAAAGAAAAGAAATCTATTAAATAAACATTATCAAGACTTAATATTAGTCATATACTGAAAGATTCTCATATCCATAACATGTACATAATATGACTGAGATTTATGACCTTTTTTTTGTAAAATGGTAAAGTCGAAATATGCTAACCTTTGAGGGCATTTTAATAAGGTGCATTGGTCTTGTGAAAGCTTATAACCATGTTGTAATAATAGCCTCCAAAACAACCCAAAGAGTAATTTGGTGCACCAAAATCTGCTGCAATTCAAAGATTTGTATACACTGACAGGCACACAGAGTTTTGCATGTGTGACATGTCTCAAGCACTTCTTTGCACCCCAATATGGTGGCCTCCGCTGAAATGAATGTAGATAGACGAATTACACATGTCTGTGACTCAGGTGTCCGCACTTATAACATCTATGATATCTAAGTTGGTTATCTAATGTTAGTAACTGAGGTCAGCTGTTCCATTACTCTCAACAGCAAATACAACCACCTGAGATGCCACCAGTCACTAGGACCAGTATGAAGCTGTAGACCAGAAAACCGCCTTGGTGTTCTGTTCATGGTGATTTCACAGACCTGCCTACCTTTGTAGTGCTGTGTTTCTTTCTTATCTACAATGAAGACATGGTTCCTAATTGCTTCCATGTAAAATGTGTTGAGGCTGGTGGATGAACAGTAGAATAAGCATTGGAAGAGATAATAGACATTTGAGTTGCATCCTACATGCAACCGGGATGCTTTTGTGACATACCAGAATTGAATAGAAAACACTAAGCAGATGGGACATTTGTATAATTTTTTTTATCCATTGGTTGTTGTTTTTGTTTGTTTTTTTAAACTTCTCTAGCCGATCCAGTTTAAATGCCAAAATGGAAGAGTGTGTTAAACTAAACTGTGAGCAGCCTTATGTAACCACAGCAATAATCAGCATTCCAACACCGCCTGTGACTACACCGGAGGGAGACGATAGACCGGAATCTCCAAGGTACTCAGGAGGAAACATAGTCAGAGTATCTGCTTTATAAAACAGTTAGAATAAAGACCACTCGGAAGCTGAACTGCGGCCAAGAGCATAAGATCCCGAAGAAAGAGGGACACAACAACTCTTTGTTCAGTGGAATGGCAAACAAGAAAAAGAAAGAAAATTTGAGTTTCTGGAGATGCAAAACATTTGGGGTTTTCCATACTGAACTGTGTGCTTTGGGCAACCAAATGGAATTTCTACACATCACTTGAACTTTTCTGGAGCAAACTCTTCTGTGACTCTTTTGATTTACTCTATGAGCACAATGAAAGGTCTCCCATTGATGCTTCTTCTTACCATGAAAAATCTTTTTGATAAAATATCTAAAAAACAAAAAAAACCGCACCCGGCAACCCACCAGTCAGACAGTTCCAAATGAATGCAAAACCAAGACTGGAAACGAAGTTTTAATAATGTGTCCTCCTTTTTCCTGTTGATAAACCATGAACCCATGACCAAGTGAGTTTAAAAGAGATAGTGAGAAAATGGCTCATACAATATTTGTATCGATTGAAAGAAACACAACCATAATGCATGTGAAAATTCTTTGGAGCTGTGATCTGAGTTTACTTCTGTTGTTTATTTCAGGTTAGGCATGATAACATTTTACTGTAGAAAAGGGACATTTCTGTGCACTTACAAAAAAACTGATTGTTAATGTTCCATGGTTGTGCAAATAACTTCCTTTCTTGTGGGGGAAATGAAGTATTTCTCACTTGAAACATGCATTAGTGAACTTGAGGTGTTCAGTTAGTTTAGCATCTATCATTCTTTTCGCTTGCTTCCTTGGTACTGTTACAACTGCAATAATTCAACATACACCTGTTGTATCAGGAATCAGGCCTTTATGTATAAAACTGCACAAATTCAGCTACACAGGTAAAATAATCACCCGGATAGACAGTAAAGTATTTTCTGTTGTATGAAAATGTTTTGAATAATTTCAAAAGCAAAATTTTTGTGTCACAGATGTTAGCTTTTGGTTGTTTTTTTAAAGTTTATTTAATTCTCATTACCCTGTAATTCCTTAAAGCCAACCATTGCCTTTCGCTGCATTTCTGTCCTCTTTGAATGTCAAGGGTTTCCATAAATTAACTGAGAAACCCTGTTTTATGAACACCATCCTTTATGTTTCCTGAAAACGACAGTCTTCCTAGTGCAGTGATACAATGTAAATCTCATCCAAAGTGACAATCACTTGGTTTAGTGATTAACATCTCTAAAACGTCACTGTTATGTTGTACTTTTAGACAAGCTGAGCACTGGGAGACATGCAAGTTAATTTTGCAGAGGATTACGAAAATGTTGATTGTCAAATCTGTAGTCAGAAACACTTAGTAATGCAATACCCTGACAAGGATGAATTTTGCAAAAAAACAGTGATGTCAAAGGATGTACCCCAATAGGATTACTCATATAATTGTAGGAACAATACACAAACTTTACTGTTTAATTTTTTTTTCTTTGTTTGTTTCATTGTCCAAAGGATTTTTAAAATGCTGTTTCCAGAAAAGTAACTTTCCTCCATCGTTGCTAATTTGTTTAGGAACACGGTGGGTTGTTGTTGTTTTTTCATCATTTCAAATCTTCAAGATATTTCTAAGTAAGAACGTTTAACCAAACATTGAAGGTGCTTCTCAAGAAATTACTAAATAGATTTATATAGCACCTCTGCTAGAATGGGTCCTATATGATTGTGTATTAACAGATGTGTCTTCATCTAGTCATTGAATACACTGCTGTATGGAAGTAAGGATGTCCTTACATAGTTTCTTGTCTGCAATTATGTCATATTAAAAATAATATATTGGATGTTGGTCATCAGATGCCATCCTCATCTATTCCCAAACAATTTGTCTAGTATGGGTTAGTTACGTCTATTACTGTAACATTATGTGACCAGCATCACACCCAAATACATTTCACATTGCCACAACATTGGATCAGAGGCTCATTTATAAGAGAGGGGATGGGGTATGTAGAATTATAGGCTCTCCCAGCCCAGTCCTCTGGATGGATTAGCCATGCTATATCAGTGCATTAAGAGGAATAGTTCTCGGAGTGGGCAGGAAAATATCTCCCTTTGGTGTGGCTCCCCCTCCACTGAAACTGAATCAAGGGGAAATGAAACGAATTGTCATAATGTTATACGTACAAGAGCAGAGGATCACAGGGATTAAGCCAGGGCAACAGAGACATGTTCATGCAGGTATCATTGGTTGCACAGGTAAAACTCCTTTTTTGGAGCCTGGTTCTAAAAGAGGTGGGGGGGTTTGGGGGGGTTAATAAAAGAAATTGTAGATTTATTGCATATATATATATATATATATATATATATATATAGTGGTACCTCGGGTTAAGTACTTAATTCGTTCCGGAGGTCCGTTCTTAACCTGAAACTGTTCTTAACCTGAAGCACCGCTTTAGCTAATGGGGCCTCCTGCTGCTGCCGTGCCACCAGAGCACAATTTCTGTTCTCATCCTGAAGCAAAGTTCTTAACCCGAGGTACTATTTCTGGGTTAGCGGAGTCTGTAACCTGAAGCATATGTAACCTGAAGCGTATGTAACCCGAGGTACCACTGTATGTATGTATGTATATATATATATATCTACAGACCAATGATGAATGCAAGGCAGAAAGTGAAATAACTTTTGCTTCTTCTGGCATTTTTTTCACCTAGGCCGCATGTATCTGCCCTGGAACTTATCCTCTCCAAAATGCGCTCATCTTAGCGCTTAAGTTGTTGGTACTCAGTGCACCAGAAGTAAGTCTTTTGCCAGTAGGGTGGCCAGGTGCAAAACAGAGTGATCTAAGGACTGTGCCTAAGAACTAGGCAGATAGAGGCATCTGCTAAAATCCCCTCTTCTATACAATTGTTATGGAAACAGGAGCCCAGTCCTCCTCTTCCTCCCTCTCTCCAACCCCCATTGCCAGGGCTTATGTTTGCACCAATTGGTGGTATTTCACACGAGACGTTGTGGCAGATACTGAACTAGTCCGATAACCTATCAGTTACATTATGTGTCTGTGCAGAAGATTTTCAATGGGGCTTCCTGCCAGGTAAGTTTGCATAGGAAACGTTACTCAAAACGGTCAAATTGGTGGGGGGGGGGTTGTTTTTGTTTTGTTTTATAAAAGAAAGCAGATAAGCTGTGATACTTAGGCATAATTTTAATCATTTGCATTGGAACACCCATTCATTTCCACACACTAGAAAGAGTCTACAGCATTTGCAAGTGACATCTGGCCATTTTTACTCAACCAACGTTTTTTATAATATGCAAAGCTAGAGTTTTCTGCTCTCTGCTGTAATCTTTCTAAGTGACTCCACTGAAACCACACAATCATTTCATTCTTCAGCCACAGAAACGCAGTTCCATTTTGACAACCTGCCGCTGTAACCCTTTACTCCTGCGGAATATGAACATTTTCATATAATGCGCTGGAAAATGGTGAAGCAGCCCTCGGCTTGCCTCACCATGCAGGGAGTGCGTGATCTGCTCTGGACTCATTAAAAAAAAAAAAGCAAGAAAGGGCAGCTCAAGGTTTACAAACCCTCCCTCCAATTAACTTTGACGATAACTCGCTTTGTTTGCAATTTGTGTCAATTTCTGAATCTGAAACCGCAACAGCTTCTGCTTCTTTTAGTAGCATTGTACTTCTGAACTGAGTTTAACGAATGTTAAATTTGCCGATAGAATATGGCAGCCACAGAAAACTCCTGGAGACTAAAGACCTGGTCCAGGAGACCTGCATGCAAAAACAGGTTATAACACAGAGATCTGCCACACCGGTTTCACAAAAGGCTTTTGTGCAAGAGGAAAACAGAGCAGAAGCACAATGATGGGATGCGTGCAAGACCCCCAATCTTGTACCCTATTGAAACCCTGCTGGGATTTAAATATGCCCTCTAAAGATGCTACATTCCTTATAGAACAGGTTACATTCCAGCAGTGTGGCCTTCATGCAACCCTCTCTGCCCCCGCTGCCCTTGAATTTGGTAAGGATTTTCCACAACGCTCGTCGGCCCCATCACCCATGCAAAAATGTTATATTTTCCCCCCTCTGAAATTCAGATGCTAAAACTTCTTTTTGTGTTTTAGGTGATTTAAATGCTGTTTTTCGGTAGTGAATGACTTGGCGACTGTGTAAAATGCATCTGTGCTGTAAATGAAATGTAATTATTTCTGTGTATCACACAAAAGAAACCAAGGTTGTTGGAGTTTTTTTGACAATTTTGGAGTGGGGGCGGGGAGATTTGAAACTGATATTGTACTTCGGAAAGGCGGTATAACAAGATGTGTTATGCTGAATAAATCGGACATCTGAGGAATATTTAAATAAAACTTCTGCATGCTTGAATGGGACAACTGGTTTTGCAATAACCTCATTCAGGAAGCGCTTTGCTCCTGCCTGTATTTCAAACGAATCTCAAGTGAATGTGAGAAACCTTTGCTAAAGGTCCTCATGTGATTCGAGATGCCATTCATTCTACTTATCGTGCAGGCAAAAGCACCACTTTCTTCTGAACATCAATCTCTCCTCCACTGCCTCAAAATAGCACACTTTTTACTGCAAAACACACCCACCCTATAATGCATGAAGTCTCTTCAAATCCTGTTCAGCACCTGTACACACATAATTCTAGTCTGATCATCAGTCATAAAGGTAAAGGTAAAGGGACCCCTGACCATTAGGTCCAGTCGTGACCGACTCTGGGGTTGCAGTGCTCATTTCGCTCTATAGGCCGCAGACAGCTTCCAGGTCATGTGCCCAGCATGACTAAGCCACTTCTGGTGAACCAGAGCAGTGCACAGAAACGCCGTTTACCTTCCCGCTGGAGCGGTACCTATTTATCTACTTGCACTTTGTGCTTTCAAACTGCTAGGTGGGCAGGAGCAGGGACCGAGCAACGGGAGCTCACCCCATCACGGGAATTTGAACCACCAACCTTCTAATAGGCAAGCCCTAGGCTCAGTGGTTTAACCCACAGCGCCAC